CCGGGGGGGGGAGGGAGGGGAGGTGCCCGCGGGCGACGCATCCCCATTTTGGGGGGGTGCACGGGGACCCCTGGGATAACCAGCTGTCCCCTTCCCCGCATTGCCTTGCACCTTTTCTTCCATGCAATTCCTGATCACAGTCTCCTTCTTTGCATTGCGTGAAATAACTTGCAAAGCTGAGCACAGTCTGCGGTTTGTACGCTTGTTTGGCAATACAGGATGTGCATTTAGTGGTAAGCCTCTCAGAGCCCTGACCTGGATAGAGTCATAGAAGCACACAGAGCTGGACGGGTTCATACAGGCAGTGTTCCCTCTAAGCTGAGTTAGTGCGCGCTAGCTTGCGTTTTTTAGCCTCCAGCTCATACTTTTTGGCCTTAGGAAGGATGGCTCCAGAGCAAAATCGCTCGCTCACAACTTTAATGCCAGGAGCTCACAAAGTAGGATTTTTGCTCACAAGACTCCACAGCTTACAGGGAGCATTGCATACAGGCCATCTAGTCCAACCCGCTGCTCAGTGCAGGATCAGCCCCAGAACATCCCTGACAAGATGGAATCAAAGCACAGGCTAGCCTGATTGCATCTGAGCAAGGTTGGACCTCTGAACCTCTCTTGCCTTGACCTGGGTAGCCTGATCTCAGAAGCTAAGCAGGGCTGGCAATAAAATCAGTTGTGGTTTTTTTAAAAAAACAACAACAACCATGTGCATTCAAGCTGCCTTATCAGTATTAGTCTCCTTAATGCAGGCTAGCCCGATGGCATCATATCTCTTGATACTAAGCAGGGTCAGCCTTGGTTAAGTACTTTGGATGGGAGACCACCAAGGAAGTCCAGGGTTGCTGTGCAGAGGCAGGCAATGGGAAACCACCTCTGAACGTCTCCTGTCCTGTCCTGGACGGCCCAGTCTAGCCTAATCTCAGAAGCTAAGCAGGGTTGGCTCTGGCCAGCATTTTAATGGGAGACCACCAAGGAAGGCCAAGGTTGCTACGCAGAGGCAGGCAATGGCAAACCACCTCTGTTCATCTCTTGCCTTGAAAACCCTACAGGGGGTCACCATATGTTGGCTGCGACTTGACAGCAACCCCCCCACACACACACACACCCTGTAGCCATCCTGCCTTGTGTTCACAGGTGACTGTGTAGAGGGGGGCGTGGCCTTGTGGTAAACCTGAAGCAGCTCCAGCTGAGAAGAATCCTGGGTAGTGGGGGTGGGGGTAGGGGTCCCCGAGAGAGCTGCTGCCAGTCGGAGCAAGAGAGGCGAGGGCTTTGGCTCTGCTTCAGGCTGCTTCCCACAGCCCTCTTCTGAGCTGCTGCGCCTGTCCAAAACCTCTCTGGAACGGTCTGTCTTAAGGAAGGCGAGACCAAGAGTTTCCTTGCCCTCTGAATTGCAGATGAAGACGACCGGCACAAGTGCGGCCGCTGCCAGTCCGAGTTCACCTCCTTGGAGGAGTTCGTGCAGCACAAGCTGCAGAAGCTTTGCCAGAGACCCCAGGAAGCGCCTGCGGCCACCCCGGCAAGTCCCCTGAGGTTGGAAGTGGGCAGGGGGTGGGCTTCTCCTTCTCTTGGCTCCTGGGGGCTCGGATGTAGACACACACACACACAGGGTCACGTTTAGGAGGAGCATAACGCTACCCTTCTAACACGCTTGGTTAATTTTGAAAGTTTCTTTATTCCCCACTGGCACCCCAAAGCATAACATTATTCTCCCGTCTTCCATTTATCCTCACAGCAATCCTGCGAGGTACACTGACTGGCCAAAGTTCCCCCAGGTAGCTTCCGTGACAGAGTGAGATTCAAACCTGGGTCTCCCACATCTTAACCCACGACGCCACACTGCCGAGCCTTAATTCTGGGGCTGGCAAATTCTAAGTAGAGATAAGAGTCAGTGCGGTATGGTGGTTAGACATGGTCGAGCTTGGATCTGAGAGACCTGGGTTCAGATGATCCCCACTCTCCCACGGAAGCACATCAATTGGGATAGGCAACTGCCAGCACCTAACCCACCTCATTTGGTGGTTGTGATGGTAAAATGGAGGAGCAGATAATGATCCTGTTAAGTTGCTTTGGGTTCCTTTGGCCAAACAATAGGGACCCCAAGTGTATGAAATGTACAGAGATGAAGGGTAGACCATAAAAGCATTCACAAATTTCACAAGTTATCATTAGACAATAGTATACCTAGGAAAGACGTTTTTGGCTGCAGATCTTTGGGACATTCTCTGCCTTTTTTGTGGACTTTGAGTTCTTTAGGACACTATTATACTGAAAGGATACAGGGGAGTCACCTGTTGGGATTCTTTCTTCACTACTGAATTGTTACACCAATTTTGTCTTCTGTTCTTTGAACTGTTACTAGTGTTTTGGAATTGTGCCACTAATTCTATTCTGTTAATTGTTTTACTGTGATTATGTCGCAATAGACTGTTGCCTAATGGTAGTTTGTGAAATTTGTGAATGCTTTGACGGGCTGCCCTTGCATTTTTCATCTCTGTTGGGTTCCTTTGGGGCAGAGAAGTGGGGCATGAATGTCTGAATAAATAAGTCTGTCTGGAAGAGTGGCCGTAGAACAGCCAATAGGGTCGGCTGGGGCAGAGGAGGGTCACAACGTAAGAGTTTGAAGCTTTTGGCTCAAGACTATTGTGAGCCCCCCGGAACTCTCGCCCTTGGAGGGGGGTGTAACTTCCCTGACTGAAGCCCTGTCTCTTGCCTCAGGTGGCCACCTCTGCAGAAGAGCCAATCACTGTGGCTCACATCGTCGTCGAAGCCTCTCCCATCACAGAAGAGATCGGCAGTGCGTCAGCAATACTTGGTGAGCTCACGATGCTAGGTGAGGCTGCCTTGGCAGTCTGATCCGTTTGCGACTGTGGACGTGGGTTTCCAGGGAGGTGTTGACAAGAGTTCCTCACTGAGATGGAAGTTGGTGGGGGGAAGGGTAAAGGACGGGCATCCATGGAACTGGCGAAGAAGTGAAGTGGAGGAGGGGGGACTAAAGGGGCAGGTTTCACTACAGAGGGCAGTTACCGGGATTTCTGCAGAGACTGGTGCTCGTTCCCTTGCTGACTGTAGGTGTGGATGACACCACACCATTCAAGGTGGTAGATGCCTGAGCAGACTGCAGAGAGCTCGAAGAATCTCTCCGTCCTGGAAGTAACAGAACTACCAGTGAAGACTGAGAGTCAACAAGATAGATTGAGATGGGTGGCCGTCGGTGTTCCCTCTAAGCTGAGTTAGTGTGAGCCAGCTCACAGTTTTTGAGCCTCCGGCTCACACATTTTTGTCTCGGCTCAGGAAGGACGGACGGCTCCAGAGGAAACTAGTTTATCCAGCAGCCAAATCTCTTGCTCACAACTTTAATGCCAGTAGCTCACAAAGTAGAATTCTTGCTCACAAGACCCCACAGCTTAGAGGGAACATTGGCCGTGCTAGCCCGTCTGTCATACTAGAAACTAGCCAGGAGTCCAGTCGCATTTTAAAGACTTAACAAAATTCGTGGCGGGGGAGGGGAGCTTTCACGAGTCACGGCTCACTTCTTCAGATACACGTCATTTGTAGTTGTATCTGAAGAAGCGAGCCGTAACTCACGAAAGCTCGTACCCTGCCACGAATTTTGTAAGTCTTTAAGGTGCTCCTGGACCTCCTGCTCATTTCTCCTCCTTCAGTGTAAACGAGTGTAAAAGTCGTCCCCCCCCCCCCGCTGCCCCACATGCACATTGATAGGATCTGAACCAGCTATGGTTCTCCAAGAAAGGTCTGTGGCTGAATGAAAATGTCTGCATGCTATGTAGGAACAGTGAAAAGGGCAAATTTGGTGGTGTTGGGGGCGTGTCAGGGAATGGGTTTGTAAGCAAGGTGGCTAGCATCGGAATGCCTTTCCTGAGAGGAGAACTTCATGAAGTTCTGTTTAGCACCACTGCAAAACTGGAGCTGGAAAAAGTATTGGGGGGGGGGCAGAAATCAAAATGAGCCAGGGTTCAAAGCATCTTCTGTGTGAAAGTCTAAAGCAGGGGTGTCGAACTCATTTGTTATGAGGGCCGGATCTGACATAAATGAGACCTTGTCGGGCCGGGCCATGTGTGCCATAAAATGTAATGCTAAGTAGTGGAGGTATAAGCTTTATAAAAGACACAAACACAAGGATTTTTTTAAACTTAAAATAAAAACATGCTTTAAAACATCAGTTCTGTAAGCTGCAAACCTGCTTTTGATTTACTGACATTCACCACAGAAATCTCCTGCTCAGAGTTCTGAGTCTAGGACCCAGGTTAAAACATGAAATCGCTGAGTGGTTAAGAGAGTCTGGCAAAGCAAGCTATGGTGCAGCAGCAGAACTGGAAGCAGGAGATGGCCAGTTCCACTGCGGGCCTAATGGAAGCCCCTCTGGGGGCCTGATCCGGCCCCCCGGGCCGCATGTTTGACACCAAAGATCTAAAGGTTTTGGGGCTTTCCGGTTTAGACAGCAGATGGCTAGGGAGGGGTGAAAGGTTTATAGACTTAGCAGTGATAACAGAAGTAGTCGTTTTCACTCTTACTCTGGTGATGTTGATTGGGGGTAGATTCCGGACTGACGTGTGGAGTTTCCTGTCCCAGAATGTAGAGGTTAGAAGGGGGTTAGAGAAACTCAGGTGTAGAAAATCATCCTGGCTTTGCCGCCAGCGGGCAGGTTAACGTGCAAGCCGGATGAGTTGGAATAAGGCAGAGCGCTGCAGAAGAGAGAACTCGGGGGATGTAAGTAGCTGCTGTCCCTGCTCAGGGGCCGGTCTGTCCATGAAGTTTCCGTGCCAGTAGTCGGCCGCCCATGAATGGGGCCGACCGGCAGTCATCTTTGCTGCCATGCCAGAGCCTGAGAGAGGCTGGTTCTGGCCAGGTGGGCCAGCGTGAAGACCATAACTGTCTTGCAATCACCTCTGCAGGCGGCGGGCACATTAAGGAAGTCATTGTCGTCGGCGACCATGTCTTTGAAAACCCCAATGGCCACACTGACGACAGCAATGATGCGGCCGCTGCAGAGGGGCAGGAGAGTCCCGAAGACCCGGAAGAAAGGGCCTCCGTGGAACTCATCAAGGTCAAACTGCTGGTTAACAAAGAAGGCCGCTACGTGTGTGAGCTCTGCCACAAAACGTTTAAAACGGTACGTTGGGGGTGAGCGGCACAGTTTGGAAGTCAGCCGAGAGCCGGCTGTGGTGTGGTGTTTAAGAGCGGCGGACTCTAATCTGTAGAGCTGGGTTTGATTCCCCACTCCTCCTCCTCCACAAGCAGCCAGCTGGGTGACCTTGGGTCAGTCACAGTTCTCTCAGAGCTCTCTCAGCCCCACGTACCTGAAAGGGTGTCTGTTATGGGGAGAGGAAGGGAAGGCCATTGTAAGCCGTTCCAAGAATCCGTCGGGTAGAGAAAAACGGGGTATAACGCTAACTCTTCTTCTTTGACAATACGAGAGCTAGCTCCTCAAAAGACAAAGTATAACGCTTGCACCCTGTACATGCCTGCTTCCAAAAAAGGTTTCTCCTGTTCCCCTAGGCCAGCATCCTCAAAGCTCACATGATCACTCACAGCAGCAGAAAGGACTACGAGTGCAAGTTATGTGGGACGTCCTTCAGGACGAAGGGTTCGCTGATCCGCCACCATCGCCGCCATACAGGTGAGGGGGAGGGCTTGGCTTGCGTGGGAACAGCAGGTGGCGGTGTGTCTGCAACCCTGTGGCACTGGGTGTCGGACAGCCGCGGGGCCTATGGGAGTCAAAAATAAAACCAGGCGGGGGCAGAGAGGAATGGCTGAGCACCAAGAGTCATGTCCTGAGGGTGGCCTTAACTGAAGAAGAAGAAGAGGAGGATGTTGGACTTATACCCCACCCTTCACTACCCAAAGGGTTCTCGGAGCTGCTCACAATCTCCTTCCCCTCCCCACAACAGACACCCTGTGAGCAATGCTCCCTCTAAGCTGTGAAGTCCTGTGAGCCAAAATTTTGCTTTGTGAGCTCCTGGCATTGAAGTTGTGAGCGAGCAATTTGGCCACTGCATAAATCAGTGTGCTCTGGAGCCATCCTTCCCGAGCTAAGACAGAAATGTGTGAGCCGGAGGCTAAAAAATTGTGAGCTAGCTCATGCTGACTTAGCTGAGAGGGAACACTGCCTGTGAGGTTGGTAGGTGGGGCTGAGAGAGCTCCTTCGAGGACTGCCCTTGAGAGAACTTGTGACTGCCCCAAGGTCACACCAGCAGCTGCACCTGGAGGAGGAGTGGGGCTTCTGGCCACTGGCCTCCCTGACCTGCTGGACTGTGCTCCGTTGGGGGGGGGAGGCAGGGATTCCTCTGCCTTCCCCCGCATCTGTAACTCTCTCTGCCTCTTCGTTTCTCCCCGTGTTCAGATGAGCGTCCTTACAAGTGCAAGAAATGTGGGAAAAGCTTCCGCGAGTCGGGGGCTCTGACTCGTCACCTAAAATCCCTGACGCCCTGCACGGAGAAGATCCGCTTCAACATGAACAAGGAAATTGTAGTTGGCAAAGAGGACGTCGCCTCAGGTCAGTGCCAAGACCGGTCCACCGTCCCCCTTTTTGAGGCCTCGGGGGTCTTCCGTTCAAAGACACAGTCGGAAGAGGCTGCTAGTCGTCAAAGAGGGTGATAGCGGCATCGGTAGCTCATCTCTTTCCTTTTCCTTGCCTTTTTGGAGATTTACCAAGTTAAAGTTTCTTGATGTGCACGGGGAATGCCTCCCCCAGTCTGGAGAAATCCCTGCCTTAAATCACTTGACTACTACCTTTGATGGAAATTACACACATCCAGACATTTCGGACATTTGTTACAAGAAAAATTTGGAGAATTTGTGCAGTTACTATCCAGGGCCCATTATACAAACTTTTAGCAACTGCAAAGCATATGAGATAGCAACATCTGGATGTGTGTTATACAATAGGAATATCGATCGCTGTGGAAGGCCCTAAGGGGCCAAAACGCGTATGTTCTATTGGTCAAAAGTTTTCCCCACCAATTGGACATGTCTAACTATCTGCTCTGAATGTAATAAGCTTTAAGAGTCTCATATTTGGACTATTTCATTTAACCTTATGTATGTTTTATTTATTATGTGTACACCATAATAAATATTTGTATTTTTATAACAGTTTCTTAGCTTGACCCTCTTAGATCCTAGAAATCCCTGCCTTGCCTACAGTTGGTCCCATTTCACTGCATTCCTGGTAAAAGAGCTTGCTCTCAGGAGGAGTGGGGCTGGCCTACCTTGCAGGCTTGTTCTGCAGGTTACGAGAGAATGTCGGTGAAGCGCTTTAAAGAACTCAGCAAGCCCGGCATCCTCTTGCCTGCTGCTGGTGGTTTCCACAGTGCTCTCGAGCAGGCCGTGGGCCTCAGCCTCTGGAAGTGGAACCCCCCACAGAGGCTTCTCGGGGGGAAGGGAGGATCTTCCGGCTTTGCCCTCGGGAGCTCAGTGGTTTGGCACGTGCTGAGCTTGAGCAGCCTGTTGCTTTCCTTGCAGGTCCCGGCAGCTCCAACACGCAGACGGTTTCCTCGCTGGCCACTCAGTCCCTGGACTCCTCGCCCATCATCCGTCTCGTGACGGACGCCAAAGGGAATGTCCTTCACGAAGTGCACGTCCAGATGCAAGAGGTCCAGATGCAAGAGCTCCCTGTCGCAGTGGCCACGTCACTGGACCAAGAGGTTGGTGTTGCCTGAAAAGTGCTCTCTGTGTTTTGAAAGAGGCCATGTCGTAGCCCAGCTGGTCTCGCGGGCTCCATGTCCAGATCACGCAGGCAGGAGGAGGTCAAAGGAATGCTCACAGTGCAGTCCAAACGGTCCAAGGCCAGTTGTTACAGTCAGAGAGAGTCCAAAAGCAGAGTCAGGCCAGTCCAAGAGTCACAGGAGTAGAGCAGAGTAAGAAGTTGTGGTCAATGTTCCCTCTAAGCTGAGTTAGTGTGAGCTAGCTCACAGTTTTTGAGCCTCTGGCTCACACATTTTTGTCTCAGCTCAGAAAGGATGGGGCTCCAGAGCAAACCAATTTATGCAGCAGCCAAATCACCTGCTCACAACTTTAATGCCAGTGGCTCACAAAGTAGAATTTTTGCTCACAAGACTCCATAGCTTAGAAGGGAACATTGGTTGTGGTCACAGGATCCATGGTGAGGTGACAGGTTGCTACCACAAGTTGGCCACAGCTCACACCCAGCTCTATGTAGCTTTTCCCTAGTAAGTCTTCTCTGCAGCTGGCAAGTTAGCCGGGCTCCTGTAATGACTCGTCTTGTGGCTGTCAAGGGGCCATTCATCTTTTACCCTGTCTGCATTCTTGCAGTTGCCTTCTGATCTTAGCCCTTCTTCTTTCTATGGGGCGGGGGATCCGGGGGAGTCGTGGGTGCCTCCGGAGGCCCTTGCTCCCTGACTTCAGCCAGCCCAGTATTCTCTGACTGGAATTCCTGAGTGTCCTCTACTCTGAAGTCCTCTTTCCCCACGCTGGACTCAGGCTCGACTGCCGAGGAGTCCTCCCTCCCCCTGGGCTCCAGTGGCCAATCAGACTGGTCAGGCCGCAAGTCAGACTGGTCCTCCTCACCCAGGCTGGGCTCAGGCAGCCAGCCAGAGTCTGGCTGCACCTCAGGCCGGCTGGAGGCAAAAGTGGACAGCCAGTGGGAGTCTGCAGCCACTGTGGGGAAAGGGCCTGGACAGAAGGCCTCTGAGCTCACAGCTGACCCGTGAGAATCCAGGTGGCTCCAAGCGCCCCCTGCCACTTTATGCACTTGAGGCCTTTTTCGTTCCCGGAATGACAAAACTCCCAGGGGTTCCAGAGGGGGAGGATCCTGCAGCCCTGGCAGAGCCAGGAGACCTTCCTCCCCAGGCACAGAACCCCAGCAGCCTATCCAAAGGGTTCTGCTAATGGGGGGTGCTGCAGAGAGAAGGCAGCTCTGTCTGCCTCCTCCTTCGGGAGGGTTGGCTCAGGAAGCCGTCTGCCATGCAGGCTCTCTTTAAATGCAGCGTTTGAGTTGGTGCCCCGTTCCGCAGGACCGTGGGTCGCCTCCATGTGGTTCTGCCTGAGGGGGCTGAGCTCAAAGAAGCTGGCCAAAGGGGGGGGGGGGCTACTGGCAGCCGGTGGCCTTCCAGGGGCTCCCACTTACAGGCTTCCCGCTTTGTTTTTAGTCTCCCAGTCCTGCGGAGCTGGCCCCCGAGGGAGAGGACAACGAGAACTTGCTGCGCGAGGCCATGAGGGATTCTGGGATCGTGATAGAGCGCGTTTCGGTGGAGGAGGCGGCAACCAAATCTGATGGTGGCACAGATGGGGCTGCGACTCCCGAGGAGTCAGAGAGCAAAGAGGCGGGCTCCCCAGAGAAGCTCTGCGAGGAGCAATGTGTTGAGCAGGTAGAGACGGTAAGGTCCTCATCGCAGCCTCCTTTCTCCTTTCCCCGTGTGGTGTGTAATTCTCCTTGCCTCCGGGAAAGGTGGGAGAGCTTGGTGGGTGTGTAATAGCCACAGCCCTGTGGGCAGGGCCTTGCTTTTCACACAACCACCAGCGAGATTAAGAGTGGCGGACTCTAATCTGGAGAACCAGCTTTGATTCCCCGCTCCTCCTCCGCAGGAAGCCTGCCGGGTGACCTTGGGCGAGCCCCAGCTCTCTCCGAGCTCTCTCAGCCCCACCTGCATCGCAAGGGGCCTCTTGTGGGGAGAGGAAGGAGAGGTGATTGTCAGCCGCTCCGAGGCTCCTTAGGGGAGGGGGAAGTGGGGCACCAGAACCTCTTCCCCAACCTCTCCTGGCTCAGGAGGTTGCTGGGCCAGATGCTGTGTCGGCGAGACGCTTGAGTTGGGTGCCCTTTGTTTCGTAGCCAGACACGGAGATGGCGGACGGAAGCCAGCACCACGCCTGCCCCTACTGCAGCGAAGCCTTCGAGGAGTCCAAGGACCTGGACGTGCACGTCAGCGGACATCTAGGTAAGGCGGCCTCCTGCAGGGATCCACACGCAAGTGACTTCCTCAGAGCTCTCCAAGCCGCGCAGATCACTGAAGTCACAGCATTTGCTTTGCCAGCACGTACACGCTAAAGCATGAGACTCTACGCACTCGGGGCACTCTAATGGGCATGGGCACTGCCCCCCTCAGGATGTCGAACTTCGTCTCCTCTGCGCACTTGCGGAGAGACGGCTCTTATCTTGGACTGCTTGTGCGGTTAAGTGCCTCGTTGCTGCTGCTGCCCTCTTTCAGTGGTAGCTTTTATCTGCACACCTTGATTATTGTGTTTGCATCCAGGCCCAAGTGAAGCGTGCCCGGCCTATGGCCTCCTGTGGGTGGCCTGACCGGCAGCGTGGCCAGGCCCTTTGCGAAGACTGATCATCCCACCGAGGAAAACAGAGCTGGAGTCCAGGGGCACCTTTAAGACCAACGAAGTTTAATCCTGGGTATACGCTTTCGTGTACACGCACACTTGGTATCTGAAGACGTTTGCATGTGCACAAACGTTTATACCCAGAATTAAGCTTTGCTGGTCTTAAGGGTTCCAGTGGACTCAAACGTTGTTCTGTTGTTGTCGAAGGTTTTCACGGACAGAGTTCATTAGCAGTTGTAGGTTTTTCCGGGCTGTACGGCCGTGGTCTTGGCATTGTAGGACCTGACGTTTCGCCAGTAGCTGTGACTGGCATCCTCAGAGGTATAACAGAGAAAGGTCTCTGTGTCAAGGTGAGAAGAAAATGGTAGGCAGGTAATTTATATCTACTCAGGAAGGTGGGGGAGGGCTGAGTCATTATCTTGTAGGAGTTCCCCAGGCTGTGAAACATGCTAATGGAGGAGCTCTCCTGAGGAGGTTCTAATTGTTTCTTGAGGAGGTTCTAATCTTATCTGTAGTGCTGTTGTCAGATGTAGAGCCTTTTGTATTTTTCAGGACAGGAAACCATGCCCTAGGTAATTTATATCTAATCAGCCCTACCCCACCTTCCTGAGTAGATATAAATTACCTGCCTACCATTTTCTTCTCACCTTGACACAGAGAGCACTCCACCTTTCTGTGTGATACCTCTGAGGATGCCAGTCACAGCTACTGGCGAAACGTCAGGTCCTACAATGCCAAGACCACGGCCACGCAGCCCGGGAAAATCTACACTTGCTAATTGTTCTGTTGCTTCAGACCAACATGGAGACTCGACCTGCAGCTTTTGTCCCGCAGAGTATATCTGCAATCAGATCATTGGCTAAGTGGATACTGAGCCCCAGATTGCCGTCGTTTTTGCCGCTGAGCAGGAAACGCAACTTTGGGGGCTGCTCAAAAGGAAGTCAGTGTGTGGCTCCTTGCCGATGCCTTTTCTGGGATCACCGTCCCCTCCGTACAGGGAGGCCTGAAGCTCCTCCTCTTTCTTTTCACCCCCTCTGCAGACTACAAGCCCTTCAAGTGCGAGGAGTGTGGCAAAGAGTTCACGAAGGGCTACCTGCTGAAGAAGCACCAGGAAGTGCACGTCAACGAGCGGCGGTTCTGCTGCGGGGAGTGCGGCAAGCTGTACAAGACCATCGCCCACGTCAAGGGCCACCGGCGGGTCCACTCCGAGGAGCGGCCTTACCCTTGCTCTAAGTGCGGCAAGAGGTACAAGACCAAGGTAGGAAGGAACCTCCATGGTCTGGGGCTTTTTCTGGGGGGGGGGGGGAGAGTACTGCCTCTTGCATCTCGTAATGAGGCCGGGGCCTTTTGAAGGTGACCAGTGGCTGGCTCGGCTCAGCCGAAGTGCTGCTGGCCAAGAGGAGGCGTTTTCCCATCCAGCACTGAAGCGGGCACTTGACAGGGTGGCTGACGAGGCTTCTGGCGTCCAGCCTGCTCTTCCTCCTCCTCCTCCTCCTCCTCCTCCAGTGCGTTGCTTGAGTCACAACCAGGCGGGGACTGAATGCTGGCTGCAGCAACAGCCAGAGACAAATCGGCACCTGAACCCTCCTGCTCCTCTCTCTCTCTGCCCGCCGCTTCTCCCCCCCAACAGAACGCCCAGCAGGTCCACTTCCGGACCCACCTGGACGAGAAGCCGTACGTCTGCCACTTCTGCAACCAGGGGTTCCGAGAAAAGGGCTCCTTGGTGCGCCACCTGCGCCACCACACGGGGGAGAAGCCCTTCAAGTGCTACAAGTGCGGCCGGGGCTTTGCGGAGCACGGCACCCTCAACCGGCACCTGAGGACGAAAGGTGAGTCAGCAGACGGGCCCGGTTGTGCTGTCTCGGCTGGCCAGGGAGGCGGCTTGCCCACTGCCCATAGGCGGGAGCCTCTTTCCGAAAGCAGCAGAGGCTCCGGTGCGTTGCTTGAGTCACATCCAGCTAGAAACCTTGACCCTCCCGGCACAGAATCTCTTGGTAAGAGACAGGATCCTCCGTGTGCCGGTTTCCTCCCTGCTGCGAGCGCTGACACCGTTTTGCTCTGTCCGGGTCTCCCTCTTCGATCCAGGGGGCTGCCTGCTCACCCTGAAAGAGGCCGAAGTCGCCGTGGTGTCGGAGGAAGGCCAGACGGCAGACAGCTTGGCCGCGACCGTCATTGCCGAGGAGGCCCCAACGGTCCTGGTGGAGTTCTCGTCGGTGGTGGCGGACACCCAGGAGTACATCATTGAGGTAGCTGAAGGGGAAGGTGGGATAGGGAAGTGACCAGTGTTCCCTCTAAGCTGTGGAGTCCTGTGAGCAAAAAATTCTACTCTCTGAGCTACCGGCATTGAAGTTGTGAGCGAGCGATTTGGCTGCTGCATAAATCAGTTTGCTCTGGAGTCCTCCTCCCTGAGCGAAGACAAAAATCTGTGAGCCGTAGACTAAAAAACTGTGAGCTGGCTCACACTAACTCAGCTTAGAGGGAACACTGGAAATGACCCGAGGACGGTAGAGCGGCGGGTGGTTGGAAGCCAAGCCGTCTGGCTGGAGAGTCGGGACAGGCGGCTGGAGCGTGCCTGAGGTCCCTGGAGTCTAATCCCACAGAGCCACTCTGCTTCCCTACGAAGAAGAAGAAGAGATTGGATTTATACCCTGCCCTTCACTACCCAAAGGAGTCTCAGAGCAGCTTACACTCCTTTCCCTTCCCCTCCCCGCAACAGACACCCTGTGAGAAGAGATTGGATTTATACCCCGCCCTGCACTACCCAATGGTGTCTCAGAGCAGCTTACTAACTCCTTTCCCTTCCCCTCCCCACAACAGACACCCTGTCAGGTAGGTGGGGCTGAGAGAGCTCTTGACAGAAACTGTTCTTTTTTCAAGAACAGCTCTTATCAGAACTATGGCTTGCCCAAGGTCATCCAGCCAGGTGCAAGTGGAGGAGTGGGGAATCAAACCCGCTTCTCCCAGATTAGAGTCCGTGCACTTAACCACTACACCAAACTTGCTCTCCAAACTGTGAGGTAGGTGGGGTTGGGAGAGCTCTTTCCAGAACTGCCCTTTCAAGGACAGCTCTTGCCAGAACTATGGCTTGCCCAAGGTCATCCAGCAGCTGCAAGTGGAGGAGTTGGAAATCAAACCCAGCTCTCCCAAATTAAGAGTCCGCGCATTTAACCACGACACCTAACTGGTGAGCAAGTGATTTGGCTGCTGCATCGATTCGTTTGCTCTGGAGCCGTCCTTCCTGAGCTAAGGCGAAAAAATTGTGAGCCGGAGGCTAAAAAACTGTGAGCTAGCTCACACTGACTCAGCTTAGAGGGAACACTGGACCAGACCTGTGGGAACGAGCCCCAGCAGCAAAGCGGAGCCCAAAGTTGAACCACGCGCCCCTCTCCTCTCTCTCTTTTGCAGACAGCCACGGAAGACATGGAAACCAGCGAAGCTACAGAAATCATAGAAGGAACGAGGCATGAGGTAGGCAGTCCCGAGCCCCCTGTGACTCCGTCCCAAAGTGAGGAGGGGAAGGGGTAAATGTGAGCCCATTTGCACCTGGGGGCTCCTTCCTCTGCCCCATGGATGCCCTTGATGGACACAGTGGGCTGCTGGGCCCGGAAACTGCTGCCCCGAAGCCTCTGTTGGTCCTCAAGACCCCTAAGCTCAGTAGACCCTCTCTTGCACTGAGCCGCTTCTGGTTACCGGGACCCAGGTTCTGTCTCTTCCCTCTGCCCCCCCAGGTGGACAGCCACATCATGAAAGTCGTGCAGCAGATCGTGAACCAGGCCAGTTCGGGTCACCAGATCATTGTCCAGAACGTCACGGTGGCCGAGAGCGCCGGCCTGGCGCCCGACAGCACAGACACGATCGCCATCGCCACCCCAGAGAGCCTCACGGAGCAGGTGGCCATGACCCTGGCGTCCGCCATCGGTGAGGGGGCGGTGCTGGCTGCGGAGGGCGGCAGCGAGGCGGAAGCGGCCGCCCTGGTCGAGGATATCGAGATCGTGGAGCACACGGGCGAGTTTGTGATCGCCTCCCAGGAGGGGGAGCTGGAGGTGCAGACGGTGATCGTCTAGGGGCCAGCCCACACCGTACCCCATGCACACAGTGCTTTGCTGCTGGCGTGCCTGCGCTTGGTCTGTTCCCACGTACCCTGTCGGCAGGTACGTGGAACAGTGCAAGAGCTCAAGACTGGCTGCTGCTCCTTGTCACCTGGACGCAAGGTGTCACGGGAAGCAGCAGTGGTCCCTCGCGTGCCCTCCAGGGAGGGGGGAAGGGGGCCATTTGGACAGCACTCTGCTCCCAGGCTGCTCTTCGTAGCAAAAATGGCTGGGGAAAAGCACTTTATCCTGGGCTGCAGGCCAAAGGAGAAGCAGAGCCCAGCTCCGCTGAGGGGCTCCCGGCCTTTCGTCCATCCAGCCGCTTCAGGCATGGAGTAATGCAGGCGACTCATGATGGACGCAAACCTTCCAGAGGACGGTTTGAAAGGCTTCACCGCAAAATGCCACAGGTTATTCTGAGGAATACCTTCTTCCAAGTGCTAATGTAAAAGTCACACTGTACATTTCTTTTTTTGTAAGCGCATAGCTTTTAATTGTAGGTTGTACAGTTCAGGTTGTACAGTTCCGCTTGTTAATTAAAGTTCTTTATAAAAATGTGTGTTTCTCGTTCTGGGGACGGGGAGTCGGAGGCGTCCCTCTGCACTCTGCAGCTCCCAAGGCGGGGCCTGAACCAGTTCCTTCTCAGCACCTGCAGCCAACGCACCACCCGCTCAAAGGAACCCTTCCTTCCGTGGACCATTGCACAGAACCACAGGCCCCCCCTTCTCCACCCCATAAGTGGGTCTGCCAGGCTAAGCAGGATTGCTCCTTGCGGGAGCCTAGCCCGTGCCTCCCGACTAATTCACTTATCATCCCTTTGGGGATTATATGCAGAGGACTTGCAGATAAGGATTGCTGCTGCAGCAGCCGGAATCACTTCCAGGCCATTAAATCCTCAAAGGCAGGAGGGACAACTGCTCTCGGAAGGGCGCTTTGAAATCACTGTAGTCATTTCCTTTTCTGCCTGGCTAAGGGCACTTTGTAGGCAAATGCGGGCGGTCTGTCAGTGCTTCCGGCGCGCATTACCTTCTCTTTGCTTCGGGGCTCACAGGGGGCTTCGCGATTTCCACAAGGTTGCCCCAGACCCCTCTCGAGTAAATGTTTCTGTAAGCCCCACTCTTGAACCTTCTCGACTTAAACCACTCGTGGCTCGTCTGGTTGGCCAGGACCAGGTACAGACCGAAGCAGAAGTAAGAGCCCAGGATGAGGGCAAGGACGACGACGAAGCCCAGCATGAACACCATCCTGGGGAAAGTCAAGAAGAGGTGCTGCAAAGCGAGGGGGGGGGGAGAATAAATCCATCTGAAACTGGATCCCGCCCCACTCATCCCCAATACAATCTGCTCCCTCTTGGACACAGCACAAGAGAAGTCCGGGGGTGTTAATTTTATATATATGTATATGTATATGTATGTGTGTGTGTGTGTGTGTGTGTGTGTGTGTGTGTCTGACATAAATGATACTTTGTCGGGCCGGGCCACCTGTGTCATAAAATGTAATGCCAAGTAGCAGAGGTATAAGCTTTATAAGGGACACAAAGAGGGTTTTTTACTTATAATAAAAACATGCTTAAAACATCAGCTCTGTAAGCTGCAAACCTGCTTTTGATTTATGGACATTCACCACAGAAATCTCCTGCTCAGAGTTCTGAGTCTCAGACCCGGGTTAAAACATGAAATGGCTGAGTGATTAAGAGAGTCTGGTAAAGCAAGCTACGATGCAGCAGCGGAACTGGAAGCAGGAGACTGCCAGTTCCACTGCGGGCCTGATCCGGCCCCCGGGCCGCATATTTGACACCCCTGCTATAAGTAATCCCTCAGCCACCCTTCGAGACCAGCCACTGCCTTGGGCTCACTGAAACCACACTTGCCCGTGAAGGAAGGCAGCCAAAAGTAAAAGCCTTGTAGCAAACAGCTACGCTAAGGCTTTTGTTATGGGCGCCTTTAAATTTTAGAAGTAGTCACTCGACAAAGATCTCCTTTGATTAAATTCCAGTTGGCCGGCCTTCCACACAAGCTTCTAAAATCTACTTAGCTTGATTTGCACCCCACCTTTCTCCTCAAAGGGGACCCAGAGCGGCTTACGTAATTCTCTCCTCCGTATGATTGTCAGAACAATCCTGTGAGGGAGGTGAGGCGGAGAGGGTGGGTCTGAGCCAAGGCCACCCAGCGAGTTGAGGATGCAAAACCTGGGTGGTCCAGGTACTAGTCCAGCACTCTTAGCCACCACACCGGCTCTCTTTCTGCCTCTACTGAGGTAAACTCACAAAGGCTCGAGTTTGGTTTGCTGCTGTTTGGTGCAAAAGTTAAGTGCATGGATTCTAAACTGGGAGAACCGGGTTTGATTTCCCACTTCTCCACTTGCAGCTGCTGGATGACCTTGGGCAAGCCCAGAGATGTGAAGGCCTGGAAAAAAACCAGTTTTTTTCCATTTTTTTCCTGAAGCCTTTTTTGTTTTTTTCCGAAAAATTGGAAAAATTGAAAAAAGAAAAGAAAAAAAAATGATTATGGAACGTTTTATTTTAACATGATGACTAAAATATTTTAAGACAAGGTGTTCAAATATTTTCCAAATCATATATATATATGGTATCAGATTGATCTAATGCTTGAGCAAGTCCTAGGTTCCAATTGAACTCTCCAATGCAAGAACAAGATGCATTTCTTCCTTTAGGAGGTGCTATTGTCAGAAGAAAATAAAAAGGTTTCAGTTTTGTTTTTGCATGTGAGTGGGTATTCTGTTTGTAATAATTGTTTGGATACACTATATTTTTAATGTGCTAGTTGTGATAATTTCATGCCAAGTAAAAATGTCCATAGTCATATTTTATGTTCCTAAAGTAACAGAATGACTTTCAATCTAGAAAAGACAAAAGAAATGATAATGTAGCATTTTTTTCAATTTTTCCGAAAATTTCCGTTTTTTTCCGAAAAAAAACGGGTTTTTTTCCGAGCTTCAAAATTTCCGGAAATTTTACATCTCTAGGCAAGCCATAGGTCTGGCACAACTGTCCTTGAAAAAGAGCAGTTTCTGTCAGCTCTCTCAGCCCCACCTACCTCACAGGGTGTCTGTTGTGGGGAGGGGAAGAGGAAGGAGTTTGTAAGCCGTTCTGAGACTCCTTTGGGTAGTGAAGGGCGGGGTATAAATCCAATCCAATCTCTTCTTCGGTGGAGTGTCAGGAAAATACTTTTTCCTCAGCGTTTACCTGAATAACAAAGACGGTGTCGACCGGTCGCTCTTGGCCTTGGTCATCTGTGTAATACCCCAGCATCAGGCTCGAGAGAGAGACCACCTGGATGAGGAAGGCCGCCGTTACGACCGCGATGGCGGTCGCCATGGCACTCAGGGTGAGGAGGTAGGCGAGGAAGTATCTCGTGTTGAAGGCCCCGATGCAGTTGTTGACCCAGACGCAGTGGTGATCGAAGCGATGCACGCAGGCACGGCAGACCCCTAAGCAAAGTCAGAATACGATTCTTTGGCTGTCAGAAGCAAGACAGAAGTTCTGTGGCTTAGCGCCCCCACTGGAGCTAATGTGCTTTATGTCTTCTGCCCAAAGCTTGAGGGGGAAACGCAGCAATTAGGTATATGCTTCCATTTCCATCTAAATCCTGTTGCCAAATCATTTCTGCAAGCGGTCCCCTGAATTTATTCATCATATAGCCTGCCTTTCCCCTTCACTCTCAAGGCATGGGGTGTTCGCAGGGATATTAAAAGGAAAGCACCACGCTGAGCTACATTAATAAGCTACATCTGCAGTGTGATAACAAGGGACTGAGAAGTTACACCCCATTGAAACACAAGCAGCGCCAGCAGCTATACCAGACGCAGAAGTGACCAGAGTTGTTGGTCTTATAATGGGCAGAGGTTCAAGTGGGCGGCTCTGTTGGTCTGAAGCAACAGAACAAAGTTTGGGTCCAGTGGCTTCTTGAAGACCAACAAAGTTTAATTCTGGGTATAAGCTTTTGAACTATGGTGCTGGAGAAGACTCTTGAGAGTCCCTTGGACTGCAAGAAGATCCAATCAGTCAGTCCTAAAAGAAATCAACCCTGACTGTTCCCTGGAAGGCCAGATAAGGAAACTGAAGCTCAAATACTTTGGCCACCCAATGAGAAGGGAGCACTCACTGGAGAAGACCCTGATGCTGGGAAAGATGGAAGGTCAAAGAAGACGGGGACGGCAAAGGATGAGATGGTTAGACGGTGTCATAAATGCAACGAACATGAAATTGAGCAAACTTCAGAGGACGGCGGAAGACAGGAGGGCCTGGCGGGATCTGGTCCATGGGGTCGCGAAGAGTCGGACTCGACTGTGCGACTGAACAACAAAAATAAGCTTTCAAACTTAGAATGGACAGGAGAGGATCATTCAGGGGAGGGAATCGGTGGCAGAGGAACCAGCATCAAAGAGGCAGGAGGAAGAGACTCCACAGATGAGGCCTTTCCAGCAGAAGAAACGACGGCTGAGGGGGGTGACATGATTTGAGGTTTATAAGATTATGCCTGGGATAGAGAAGGTAGAGAAAGAGGTCCTTTTCTCCCTTTCTCACAACGCAAGAACTCATGGGCACTCAATGAAATTGCTGAGCAGTCGGGTTAGAACGGATAAAAGGAAGTCCTTCTTCACCCAAAGAGTGATTAACACATGGAATTCACTGCCACAGGAGGTGGTGGCAGCTACAAGCATGGACGGCTTCAAGAGGGAATTGGATAAGCATATGGAGCAGAGGTCCATCAGTGGCTATTAGCCACAAGGTATAGGTAGGAACTCTCGGTCTGGGGCAAGTGATGCTCTATATCAGTGGTGGCGAACCTATGGCATGGGTGCCAGAGGTGGCACTCAGAGCCCTCTCTGTGGGCACGCATGCCATCGCCCCAGCCAGGCCCAGACCGTCATTAAAGTGTCGAATTCTCTGCCAAATAATTTTAAGTAAATGAAAGCATTTGGGATTGCTTTCCTTACTTTGGATCATCTTAAGTTAATGGTATGAGTTGTTTTTTCTAAAGTAAAACCTCAGTATTCAGGTTAAATTGCCGTGTTGGTGGCTCAAGTGGTTAAGACACTGAACTGCAGGCTGTGGAAGGTCAGTAGTTCAGCGGTTCAAGACCCGGGTGCCGCAAGACGGGGTGAGCTCCTGTCTCTAGTTCCAGCTCCTGCCAACCTAGCAGTTCGAAAGCAAGAAATTGCAAGTAGATAAATAGGGACCACTTCGGTGGGAAGGTAACAGCGTTCCGTGCACCTTGGTGTTTAGTCATGCCGGCCACATGACCACGGAAACGTCTTTGGACAGCGCTGGCTCTTCGGCTTTGAAACGGAGATGAGCACCGCAACCCTAGAGTCGGATTTGACTGGCTTTCGAGCAAGGGAACCTTTACCTTTTACCTTGGGCCCTCGGTCTCTAAAAGGTTCGCCATCCCTGCCCTATATTCTTGGTGCTTGGGGGGGGGGGGCAACAGTAAGAGAGCTTCTGGTGTCCTGGCCCCACTGCTGGACCTCCTGATGGCACCTGGTATTTCTGGTCACTGTGTGTTGGACTGGATGGGCCACTGGCCTGATCCAACATTTGGCTTCTCTTACGTTCTTATGTTCTTAAGAGCTTGTTAAGGAGGAGGGGGGAGGGTACTGCAGCGGGGGCGGCCACAAGAGCTTACCGCAGTGCTTGGATCTGGCTGGTTTCCTGGTGCTGCAGACGGCACACTTGGCGCCTCTCTCGAACATCACCCCATCATAAGCGTAAGCGTGGAGGAAGAGCGCCTGGTTGGATTTGGTTACGGCACCTGCAACAAGGAATGGACAAATGCGTCTCTGTCACTGTGCTTTCACCCCCTTTTGCCTGCCCTTTGACTTCACGTGCCGAATGGGTGCTACCGGCCAAGATACTTTGTAGGAGGAAAGAAATGCCCACTTTCACAAGCTGAGTGACACCGGCCTGTGATCACCGAAGCGGAAGCAGCCAGCAAGGGGTGGCGGAATCCCTCCCCAAATACATGCAGCCGGCTCAGCTCATGTTTTCCAGTTAGTTGCAGACACTGCTGAGGGACCAGCACTGCCCTAACGCCCTTCCCATGGATGCCAGTGAGAGCTGGAGGCCTCATACTGGAAGCTGGCTGGGCCCGCCCCAGTGGCGAATCTGCAGTCTTCCAGGTTGCTAGAGGTCCACTTGGGGTGGCAAAAGAAGTCCAAGGGCAAACCACCGCTTGGCGCGGCAGTCCGGCAAGATCTTATTGCCAGCGTGTTACCAATTCAAAGCCTGAAACTTTGCCCTAGGTAGGTAGGCCAGGCGGTGACTGATGTGACGGGGAGGCCTCCCCTCCTAGACGCACGTATCAACAGCTGTGTGCCAAAGAATGCTTCTCGCTGACATCTGGTTTTGTACGTGAACAGAACTGTCTGGCTTATTTATTTACTTCCTGTATTTCACCCCAATGGAGACCCAAAGTGACTTACATCCTCCTCCTCTCCTGTTTTATGTTCACAACAACCACCCTGTGAGGTAGGTGAGGCTGAGAGTGTGTGACTGGCCGAGGTCACCCAGCGAGCTTCCGTGGCCAAATCCTAGTCCAACATTCTAACCCAGGGGTTTCAAACATGCAGCTCGGGGGCCAGATCAGGCCCACAGGAGGACTTCTATCAGGCCTGCAGTGGAACTGGCTGTCTTCTGCTTCTTCTTCCAGTTCTGCTGCTGCTGTGTCATCGTAGGTTTGCAGCTTACAGAGACACACCTGAACAGCATACTCAAGACTGCCACAGCACAGACATTTTGATGCGATAATTCAGAGCAAGAAGTGTCAGTTATCAGACACGGTTAAACAAACAAAATATGGCAAGAGTGCTAATGTTTGAAGCATGTTTTTATTTTAAGTTTAAAAAAACAAAACCCTTTGTGTTTGTGTCCTTTATAAAATTTATATCTCCGCTCCCTGGCATAACATTTTATGACACACACGGCCCAACCCAACAAGGTCTCATTTGTGTCAGATCCGGCCCTCATAACAAATGAGTTCAACACCCCTGCTCTACCCACTCCGCCACGCTGGCTTCTCCAGCACAAACCTTTCAGAGACAGAAGGGGTGCAGTCAAGGCAGGGGCAAACCCCATCTGATAAATCACTGCTGGCCTCTACAGGGGACATTTCCACACTGGCCAACGGCCGCCATTCTAGAGCAAAAGTGGTCTTACCGGGGTCAGTCTTGGCGCACAGAACAAAGAAGCCCACGTTCACAGTCAGCAGCAGGTAAGGAAGCAGGAGGAGGGGAAGGCCGAACTCCAGCTCCTGGCAATAGCCGAACACCTCCCAGGTGTACTCGCCGTAAACCAACACTTCCAGAGCCAGGTGCAGGGCAACAAACAGGCAGTGTCTGTCACAAGGGGGAAGGCGGCGTCTGTCACAAGACCGAGTTTTCCCAGCAGGGCAAACGGCAATTCCCCAGAGCCGTTTCAGGTCAGGAAAACAGCATGGGGGGGCAAAGCCTCAGCTGCCTCTCCCAGCATCCCACAGTCCCAACCTGACTCGGGCTGCCACGCACCTCCGAATTAAAATCCGAGCATGGGACCCTCAGAGCACATCTGCTCGACAGAGCCCGGGGTGTGGGAGAAGAAGAGGAAGAAGAAGAAGAATGGGTTTGGTGTCGTGGTTAGGAGCGCGGAGTCTAATCTGGGAGAACCGGGTTTGATTCCCCACTCCTCCACTCGCACCTGCTGGATGACCTTGGGCAAGCCATAGTACTGTCAGAGCTGTCCTTGAAAGGGCAGTTCTATCTGAGCTCTCTCAGCCCCACCTGCCTCACAGGGTGTCTGTTGTGGGGAGGGGAAGGGAAAGGAGATTGTAAGACACTCTGAGACTCCAAGTGAAGGGCGGGGTATAAATCCAATCTCCTCTTCTCTTCTTCTTCTTTATACCCCGCCCTTCCCTACCCAAAGGAGTCTCAGAGCGGCTTACAATCGCCTTCCCTTCCCCTCCCTGCAACAGACACCCTGTGAGGTAGGTGGGGCTGACAGAGCTCCAAGAGAACTGTGACTGGCCTAAAATCACCCAGCTGGCTGCATGTAAAGGAGCAGGGAATCAAACCTGGCTCTCCCAGATTAGAGTCCGTGCACTTAACCAGCACACCAGACAAGGGCAGAGTAACAGACGGACACTGAGAACTAACAATCGGATACAGCTCGAGGGAAGGCACCCACAAAAGGCAGCCATACCGTGTGTGGAAGAGGCGGTGAAGTCCCCTCTGAGCAGCTCCATGAACCTGGGCGGGGATGACGCGAGAAAGCACCTGTGCCAAAAAAGACATAAAAGCCACAAACTTTCAGAGAAATAATAGAAGAGGAAGGAGGAGGGCGAGGAGATTGGATTTATCCCCCGCCCTTCACTCGGAGACTCAGAGCAGCTTACAATCTCCTTTCCCTTCCCCTCCCCACAACAGACCCCCTGTGAGGCAGGTGGGGCTGAGAGAGCTCTGACAGAAACTGTTCTTTTTCAAGGACAGCTGTGCCAGAACTATGGCTTGCCCAAGGTCATCCAGCAGCTGCAAGTGGAGGGGTGGGGAATCAAACCCGGTTCTCCCAGATTAGAGTCCGTGCACTTAACCACGACACCAAACTGGCTCACTCACCAAAACTAGCTCTGAATGGCACCCCGGTTCAGTACTCAAAGCACAAAAACACAGGTATGGGATACCCTTGCAGGCTGCGTAGTGGGCCAACAATAAAAACGTAACGTATAAATAATATGTAAAAACGCATGTATTTAATTGTAAAGAATTAAAAAACCTATAGCGGGCCCAATCACACTGCATGTAAAAATCCCAAAATCATATATACACAAGGGCCAATGGTCTTGACCTGATGCATTCTGGCCATTGTGTATATATGATTTTGGGATTTTTACATGCAGTGTGATTGGGCCCGCTATAGGTTTTTTAATTCCTTTACAAATAAATACATGTATTTTTACAAACTTAATGTATAAATAAGTTTTCATTGTTGGCCCTCTACTCAGTTTGACTTAGCTTTTCAATTTCTTGATCCTAGTTGTCAGGGTTATGTTTGTTTCAATTTTTTTATTCACAGTATACCCTTGGCAGGCTGCGTGCAACATTTGGGGATAAAGGACCTGGGAGACGCATAAAGCAGGTGGCACTGGAATGGAGGGCCGACCTGTTCTGGAAACAGTGGAGGCAAAGAAGCATACACCCTTTCCTCTTAAAAAAAAAAAAGACTGCTGTAACTATATGTCTGGTTTCCCCCTAGACCTGTCGGAGCCCACCTTCTGCAACCAGTGCCAACATTCTTTACTCACCAATTTGGTGTAGTGGTTAAGTGCGCGGACTCTAATCTGGGAGAACCGGGTTTGATTCCCCACTCCTCCACTTGCACCTGCTGATGTGACCTTGGGTCAGTCACAAGCTCTGGCACAGCTGTCCTTGAAAAAGAGCAGTTTGTGTCAGAGTTCTCACAGCCCCACCCACCTCACAGGGTGTCTGTTGTGGGGAGGGGGAGGGAAAGGAGTTTGTAAGCCGCTCTGAGACTCCAAGTGAAGGGCGGGGCATAAATCCAATCTCTTCTCTTCTCTTCTTACCTGCGCCAGCCAGTCGACAGTCCTTGAAGGCCAACTTTGCTTCCTTCCGGAATAGAGGCAGACCAAGAGAATGGTCAGCAGCACCAGAGTGACGTATAGCAGGAAGAGGACCAAGAAGTCCATCCTGCTCTGCAGAGTCCAGACGCTGGCCCCCGAGGGCTCCTCCTCCTCCTCTCTCCCCTTTGCAGACACCGGACGAGGGAAAGCCCAGACACTCCCCAGCAAAGCTGTTTCCAAGCCCAGGCCGAGACAGGCACGATCTTCTCATGTTTAGCTATGAAACAGACATCCTGTGAGGTAGGTGCGGCTGAGAGAGCTCTTTGGAGGACTGCTCTGAGAGAACTTTTGACTGACCCAAGGTCACCCAGCTGGCTGCATATGGAGGAGTGGGAGATCAAATCTGGTTCTCCAGGTAGCCAGTGTGGGAAAGGGCCTTAGGGCGACGCTCAACTCAGTCTAGGCAGCTTCATGTAACTTTTGCCTTTAGATGGAGAAGCCCCGGCTGAGATGGTGATAGGAAAAACCTCCCCTCCTCTGCCTGAGACCAGCTGTGGGTCTCTAGGGTCGGACTCAGCAAATTTAATGTGCCTTCAAATGAAACTATCACATGAAGTTGCTGCCTTATCCTGAGTTAAACCATGAGTCCATCAAAGTCAGTCTTGTCTACTCAGACTGGCAGTGGATCTCCAGGGTCTCGGGCGGAGGTTTTTCCCATCACCTCCTGCCTGGTCTTTTTTAACTGGAGATGCTGCCGGGGATTGAACCTGGGACCTTCTGGAAAAGCGGATGGTCTGCCACTGAGCCACAGTTCCTCTCCAAACACACATGAAGAAGAAGAAGAGATTGGATTTATACCTCACCCTTCACTACCCAAAGGAGTCGCAGAGCGGCTGATACACTCCTTTCCCTTCCCCTCCCCACAACAGACAGACTATGAGGTAGGTGAGGTTGAGAGAGCTCTGACAGAAACTGCTCTTTTTCAAAAACAGCTCTTATCAGAACTATGGCTTGCCCAAGGTCATCCAGCAGCTGCGAGTGGAGGAGTGCGGAATCAAACCCGGTTCTCCCAGATTAGAGTCCGCGCACTTAACCACCTACACCAAACGGGCTGTTTGGAAGCGACATTATACTAAACCAGACCCTCTTGGTCCATTACGGTCAGTATTGTCTACCCAGGCTGGCAGCAACTCTCCAGGGTCTCCAGCAGGGAAACGTCTTCCACCTCACCCCCTGCCCGGTCATTTCAGCTGCAGATGCCGGTGGGGATTGAAGGGGGGGGGGGTCTGCATGCCAAGCAGACGCTCTGACTGCCACTGAACCACGCCCCCCGTCAGTATGCGCCTGCAGAACTCATGGCAACCAGCTCACCTGCTACCCCCAGCCCCTTTGGATCATGATTCTTCTCCAGGGGCGCTCCAGGCCCCAAGTGGCGCCCCCAACCCTTTTGCCCGCAGGGACACACACACCCCATCTCCCGCACTTTGCCCCGGTCGTCTTCACAACAACAACAACCCTGCCGGGTGGACCGGCTCTGCCCGCCATTCTCACTCACACACACACCCCGCCCACTTTCATTATTATTCACCCTCCTGTCTTCTCTGTCTCCGGTTTTTGCATTGCTTTGGGTCTGGACAGGGTTGGGGGGTGGAAAGGCACCTTCGGCGTCGCCTGGCAACGGCGCCCCCCCCCCCAGGACGCCCCCCACACTCAGCAGCAGGAAGACGACCCTTGGCTCACGTGACGAAGGAGGCGGAAGCCGGTCATAGAGAAGCCGGCGGGCGCCTGTGCCCGACCCGGAAGCGCCGCGCGCGGGCGGTTACCGTGGAAACGAGCGCGAGCCACGCTAGGCGGGGAAGGCGGCGAGTGACGCAACGGCGTCTGCGGCGCCGTGGTCGCGTTTCCATGGCAACCACCCGTCGGAGGGGAGTCTGAGTCGCCCTTTTCAGAAAAAATTCCGGTTTAGTTAATCCGGATTAAGTGGCTGTGCAAACACCCAGAATGAGTTTCCACAGAGGGACTCCCCGCCCGACGTTTGCAATAAAAAAAATCTCTACATGGATCCTCAACCGACTTAAAGGAAGGGGGGGGGAAACATACAGGAGAAAGTCACTGTCCAAATAAAAGCCTGCCTGCTGCAGGGAGGGATATCTGGGCCATTGGCAAATGCACACAAATGTCAAATGCACACACACGAAAGCTTATACCCAGAATCAATGCTCCCTCTAAACTGTGGAGTCTTGTGAGCAAAAATGCTCCTTTGTGAACTCCTGGCGTTAAAGTTGTGAGCGTGCGATTTGGCTGCTGCATCAATGAGTCTGCTCTGGAGCCCTCCTTCCCGAGCGGAGACAAAAACGTGTGAGCCGGAGGCTAAAAAAACTGTGAGCTAGCTCACACTCACTCAGTTTAGAGGGAACACTGTCCAGAATCAGACTTTGCTGGTCTTACAGGTGCCACACTGGGCTCAAACTTTGTTCTGTCGTCAAATGCAATATAAAAGTCTTTAGCACAAAAAGCCCCCGTGAGGAGAGGCGTCCCACAAATACCCGGAAGTTGCCCCCCCGGGGGGGGCTCCTCTGTTGCAGCAAAATGGACCGGAGGGGGGGTCTTTTGCAGCACCTGAAAACTAACCACAGCTTCTAAGGGGCCAGAAGAGCTCACTAATCCATGAAAAAAACCTAGGCTTCAGAAACATGAGGACCATCCTCAGTGGGAGGTGCTTAAGATCACCTGCTCTAAATTGTGGAGTCTTGAGAGCAAAAGTTCTACTTTGTGAGCTACTGGGCATTAACGCTGTGAGCCAGCGATTTGGCTGCTGCATAATTTAGTTTGCTCTGAACCAATGCTCCCTCTAAGCTGTGGAGTCTTGTGTGCAAAAATTCTACTTTGTGAGCTACTGGCATTAAAGTTGTGAGCGAGCGATTGGGCTACTGCGTAAATTAGTTTGCTCTGGACTCGCAATGTTCCTTCTAAACTATGGAGACCTGTGAGCAAAAATACTACTTTGTGAGCTACTGGCATTAAAGTTGTGAGCGAGCGATTGGGCTACTGCGTAAATTAGTTTGCTCTGGACTCGCAATGTTCCTTCTAAACTATGGAGACCTGTGAGCAAAAATACTACTTTGTGAGCTACTGGCATTAAAGTTGTGAGCGAGCGATTGGGCTACTGCGTAAATTAGTTTGCTCTGGACTCGCAATGTTCCTTCTAAACTATGGAGACCTGTGAGCAAAAATACTACTTTGTGAGCTACTGGCATTAAAGTTGTGAGCAAGGAATTTGGCTGCTGCGTAGATTAGTTTGCTGCGGAGCCATCCTTCCTGAGCGAAGACAAAAATGTGTGAGCCAGAGCCGGAGCCGAAGAAGAAGAAGAAGAGGAAGAAGAGGAGGAGATTGGATTTATACCCCGCCCTTCACTTGGGAGTCTCAGAGCGGCTTACAATCTCCCTTCCCTTCCCCTCCCCACAACAGACACCCTGTGAGGTGGGTGGGGCTGTGAGAACTCTGACACAAACTGCTCTTTTTCAAGGACAGCTGTGCCAGAGCTTGTGACTGACCCAAGGTCACATCAGCAGGTGCAAGTGGAGGAGTGGGGAATCAAACCCGGTTCTCCCAGATTAGAGTCCGCGCACTTAACCACTACACCAAACTGGCTCTATGAGCTATGCTCACACTGACTCAGCTTAGAGGGAACGCTGCTCTGGAGCTATCCTCCCTGAGCTAAGACAAAAATCTGCGAGCTGGAGGCTAAAGCACTGTAAGCTAGCTCACACTAACTCAGCTTAGAGGGAACGCTGCTCCAGACTGCAGAGATCAGTTTCCCCTGGAGAAAATGGCTGCTTTGGAAGGTGGACACAGGCAGGATTTGGGGAGGGGAGGGACTTCAATGGGGTATTTTCTCCAGGGGAACTGCTTTCCTCCTCACACGTTCTGCGAAGCAGTTTCTCAGTGCACACCGATCGGCCAGCCCTGGGCCCTACAGCCACTGCCTCCATATGGCTGGGATCTGGAGAGGGGATTTAGGCCTCCGGGGCTACGTGGCTCCCTGCGGATAATTGGATCATCGCTTGGCCGGGGTCTCTCCCCGTAAGCCCTGTCCTAATGTTGCGGCCTGGATTTAGTTCCTGCGGCCCCCGTGCAAATCGCTTAATGCCAGCAGCAAATATTTGATTTCTTTTTATGGCGCATAATGGAAAACACAAAGAGGTCAAGATGAGGACAGAGGCAAAAGTGAACGGGGACATCGCTTTGCAGAAGCTTAATTCAGTCCTCACACACACACACACACACACACACACACCTGCTTTTCAGCTTATTCTTGGGCCTGTGCGACCTCAGCTGTCTCTATACTGCAAAACAACAACCTTTTTATGGTTGCAGCAGCTTTGCTGAACCACATTCCGTGTAAATCTCATCCAAAATGCACACATGTTCTATCACGCACTCCTGGTTTTAAGTACCCTCCCTTCCAATTCCATATCTTCCTTATTTCTAGTATGAGCTCTGATCTCCAGAGTTTGCCTCCGCTCCTTTCCCAGCCACTGGATTTCCTAAAACCATTAAAGTCAGCAGCCCAGAAGCTGAACTTGTGTGAGCAAAGCAAGACCTCAACTCAGTTCTTCTGCATCACCTGCCCAGTATACAGACACTCGCCCGGTATACAGAGTATGCCAAAGTTAAGTGGCATTCAGACTGGTCAGTGCTCATATGGAAGACACACACACACCTGGCACCCTAGGTATGCCATCTTGAGTCCCATGGAGGACGAAAAACAAGCCGGGGATGCAGTTTCACAAAACAACCACAACAGAACTTTAACAGCTGCATCAACACTGGGCTCCTTGCAAGATCTCAGCCCCTTTGTGAGTTAATTAAGACAGCTGTTGCTAAAGCAGAGCTGGTAAACATAAGAACGACAAAAAGAGCCCTGAAACGCAAGAGAAGCCATGTTGGATCAGGCTAATGGCCCATCCAGTCCAACACTCTGTGACACACAGTGTCCAAAACCTGGGTGCCATCAGGAGGTCGACCAGCAGAGCAAAAAGTCCAAAAGGTCTCCAATTGTTGCCCCCCCCCCAGCACCAACAAGACCCACTGGTGGACCTCCTGATGGCACCTGGTATTTTTGGCCACTGTGTGACAGAGTGTTGGACTGGATGGGCCATTAGCCTGATCCAACATTGCCTTCTCTTATGTTCTTATGTAAGAAGACAGAGCATCAATGCGCCAGACATCAAGACCTGGTGGCTAAGAGCCACTAATGGACCTCTGCTCCAGATGTTTCTCCAATCCCCTCTTGAAGCTGTCTGTGCTTGTAGCCGCCATCACTTCCTGCGGCAGTGAATTCCACATGTTCATTACTCTTCAGGTGAAGGGCTTCCTTTGATCTGTTCTTAGCCTACTGCTCATCAATTTCATGGAGCGCCCACGAGTTCTTGTATCATGAGAAAGGGAGAAAAGGACGTCTGTCTCTACCTTCTCTATCCCATGCATAATTTTGTCAACTTCTATCATGTCCCCCCCCCCTCTCAGTCATCATTTCTCCAAGCTAAAGAGCCCTAACCTCTTTCACCTTTCTTCATAGGAAAGGCGTTCCACCCCCTTAATCATATTTAGTTGCCCTTTTCTGCACCTTTTCTCATGCTATAAAATCTTTTTTGAGGTGTGCTGTACACAGGTGGACAGGTGGCCTCTAAATTATTCTACACAGACCTTCCCGCAACTTTAATTCCTGGCCTGCAGGTGATGCAGCAAGTGCCCAGATCTGAACGTGCCGCGTGGAACAAGAGACCAGTCTCTGCTGCAAAATGCATTCTTATACGCTCCCAAATGCCCCCCCCCCCGGTGGCAAACCAAAGTTTGTTCAATCCTCTTCCCATCCAGCTTGGATCACTCCCGTCATCAAGGGGGGGTGAGGGGGAGACTGACTCAAGTGTGCTTCCGTCTCCCTTTCGGTCCAAATGTGTGGGCGAAGCATAAAGTCTAATGGACTTCAGCGATGATGAATACCAAGCCCCGGGAAGAGTGATTTGTCTGGATTAGCTAACAAGTATTAATGAGTATGTAGGGTGTCAGTGTTTTCCATTTTAGCTTATTTTTAGGAACACAGTCCAAGGCGCGTGCTAAAATATTCAGCCTCCCCTCCCCCTTGCTTAATTTCCATCAGAGATCAAGCAGGCAGGGATGGCCCCAGACGTTCTGCCTGCTCAAGCAGTCGCGCCTCATGATTTTGGGGCCCAGGCATCTCACTGCTGGAAAGGTGTCCCACAATATTGCCACCTCACCCAGTCACCGATTAGGGAGAGAGGGGAAGGACAGGTGGCTGAAAGTCAGTTTAGTGTAGCGGTCAAGAGCACAGACTCTAATCTGGGAGAACCGGGCTTGATTCCCCACTCCCCCACATGCAATTGCTGGGTGACCTTTGGACAGTCACAAGTTCTCTCTCAGAGCTGTTCTCTCAAGGGCTGTTCTCTCAGAGCTCTCTCAGCCCCACCTACCTCACAGGGTGTCTGTTGTGGAGAGAGGAAGGGAAAGGAGTCTGTAAGCCACTCTGAGTGAAGGGTGGGGCAGAAATCCAGTCTCCTCCTCCTCCTCCTCTCCCACCCCAGCTCCAAGAGATGCTTGAACTAGTGATGTTCCGCTTGCCTTACTCAGCTCCTGGTTTATT